TACAAACCTCCCAGCCTCCCTGCGGCAGGCGCCCCCGCCCCCCCCCCAGCACCCCACACGGCGAAACGGCTTGCTGCCAATGCAGGCCACCGTCTCCGGGACTTCAGCCACGCGCAGAACGGGGTGGGGGGAGGCGTGTTTTTTAACACCCTGCTTCTTAGAAGGCGCTGGCCTCGCATCTACATGCAGATAATGCCCGCGCCTTCTCAGAAGTGAGGGTGTTTCTAAAAAGCCGTCCCCTCTCCCCCCACCCTCATTCTACGCGTGGCAGGAGCATCGCCCCCGACTTTGCGTCGAAAGAGTGTGCGGCCGCGAGGTGGGGAAGCCTCGGGCAAAACGCCCGGCCAGCCCTACCGACACGTCTGGTGAAGCGGCAGGGAGGAGTGATCTGCACGGAAGAAAGATGGAGGTATCACGACGACGACGACGGGGAGCAGGAGGAGAGGGAGGAAGAGGAGGTCAGGTCAGGTCAGGTCAGGTCAGGTCAGGAACGATGGCGCTCAATCAGGAGGCGAAAAACGACGATCGTACAGTTCAACTCCAAACCTCGTCAAAATAAACAGAAATGGAAATTGAAATCCTGGAGCACGATGCTGTCGGGCACTTGTCAGAAAACGCGTTTTTCAATGCTGAGAGGGTGGGGTCAGTTTTGTGACAACACCGCGTCCGAGTCAACAGGCATCCGTCAGGATTGGAACAGCGCTGACCCCACAATCACAGAACTGAGAAGTCTTCTGTTTATTTTTGACGAGGCTTGTAGGTGGCCAGCGAGATCCCCCTCTCGAAGAAGGACCGCCCCCCCCCTCATGGGTCTGACCCTTGCACAGGACTACACATACGGCCATGGAATTCGAGGAAGTCTCAAGCGACACCTCCACTCTGAAAAACAGCCGACGTGGATCAGTGCAACTCTACGTGCGTTGAAGCTCCGGGTCAAACAGCCACAGCGCCAAGGGCGCTGAAGTCTCGGATCTGTTAACATAGCGAAGTCCCAGGCGAAACCCCAAGGTTGAAAACAATAGTCGTACATCCTGCAAGTGTTTCGTGGGAAAACGAATGCGCGCGGCGCTAAGGCGAGAGCCCCACTTTCAAAAAGAACCGCCCTCCATCCGTGAAGTTCGTGTAGACGATCAATAAGAATATACACGGTGCTAGAGCGAGAGCACATTTTTACAAATCGACCCCATCCATAATTGAAATTGCTGCAAATTATTAAAACGAAGGTGAGCGGCGCTCAGTCGAGGGCCACATTTTGAACACGACCCACCCTCCATCCGTGAAGCCGACACAATTTTAACCGAAAAACTGATTATCGCAGCACCAGAGCGAGAACTGCCTTTTGAAAAAGGCACCCCTCAATCCGTGAAGTTGTTGCAAGTGTCGAGCTTCAGGATCACGAGGGATGAGAAAGTCAGAAGTGAAACGCCCAGCTCGCCCTACCGACACGTTTTGGGGTTCGACCGGGAGACGCTCTTCATAAGGAAAAGGGATGGAGGAGGGGGAGGAGGAAGAGGAAGGAGGAAGGAAGGAGTGGACGCGCGTCGCTAGAGCTCCTAAACGAAGACCCGCTTGCACAGCAGCGATGACACCGCACAGCAATGCACAGCATGACACCGCCTGGCCTCCAGCACGCCATGGCATCGCAACACTGCGTAGTCTGGAAGAGCAGTGTACGGCATGTAGTGGCAAGCTGTGGCGTGGCATTGCTTTGAATGCGATAGCATCACGTTGCATTGCCTCGTATAGTTTAACATACGTGTGCTCTGCATGGCATGGCATAGCGCGGCTGACAATATCAAACCGTGCCGTAGTGGATCACTTATTTGGACTGTACAACACCTCACACTCGCATAGCGGAGCAGGGCATCGTACATAATACACGTATGCTACCATGGCACTGCGCTGCATCAGAAGTAGCGCGGTGTAGCACAACTTACCATTTGAACTATGTCCAACGTTTTGCGCAGCACGGCAGAGCATGGCACCACACGTGACAATCGCATCATGTCGCCGCAGACCAATACAAAGCCTGTAATAACAATACGCAGCAGCACAAAGCACAGCACGACACAACAGGGCAACGCGTCACAAGACATAGCAGTGCACAGCATAGCATGCACAGGCAGGGCCTGAGACACTGCACTGTATTATCAGAGCGAGGCGCCCCTGGGTCGGACACATCTACAACTACACGCAGCAAAACTGCACCTTGTTGCGTGCACCAGGGGTGGCAATCATAATTAGAATTGGCGCGTCGGTCGGTCTGGGTGGACGGACGCCCCTGAAATCCTGGCGCCACATTGTTTCCCCCCCACTGGGCGTTTTCGCCCGGATGCGGGTCCCAGGGCACTCGCAGATCGATCCAGCTCGGGAGCTGCCGCAGACACACAGGGCCAAGGTCTCCAGACACAATTGCCTGCGATGTCGCATGCTATTCGCGACGTCGGACTTCAGGGAGGTTGGGACACCTCAGGCAAGGACTTATTGGGGAACATGTATATCCAGAACTGCCCCTACCCACCCTGGATTGCGACCCCCCCCCCCCATGGGGGGAGCAGCGAGAATTTGAAGCGGCAGCTGTGGAGACGTCCTGTTCTAGAGGGCAAGCGCCGAGGTCTGTTTACCATGGCCGATTGGAATCCGAGAAACAGCTCAGAAGACTCGTTTCCTCCACAAGGTAAGCACAAATGGCCTCTTGTCGAACGCGTAGGGAACGTTTCAAATCTCGGACCACGTGGTTACCACCTGAATATAATTGCCCTCGGGAGCGGGTTGTAAGTTTAAGTCGGGCATGTCCTCCTAGAGGGGGATTTGGGACGAGAGATAAAAATAGTCCAAACATATACCAGAAATGCAAAACATACTAGAACAATCGCCCCCTGACTAGTTTTAGACTATTTCTGAATAATCCTCCTGTGGAGGGACAGGCCCGACTCAATTGCAAGTTGAAATTGGACCCTGGGCGGGAGGCACACAGGCTGGCGAACAACGCGGGACCGGCGACAGCCGCCGGGCGAACAAGCAGAGGGCACGACGCAGAATCTCACGCACACTGTTCTCGGTGGCCGCGCCAAGGCGTGCTTTTCGCAGATGCGAATTGCATCACTCGACTCGTCCTGCTTCTCCTCGTCGGCCTTGGACACAATCGACATGAATTCCGAAAACAAATACAGAGCAAAAAGAAACGGGGGCGGCCGCAAAACAAAATACTCGTTGTAGCCCGCCCCTCCTTTCTGGGGGACCCCCTCTCAGGGACCCCCCTTCGGGGACACCCCCACGGGGACCCCCCCTGGGGGAACCCCCCTCGGCGACCCCTCTGTCAGAGACACCATCGCGGTGACCCCCCTCGGTTACCACCTCTCGAGGGCGCGATCATGATGGTAACGCATGAGTGCCATGGACGATCCTGCCCTGGGACTGGATAGAACGGTTGGGACTAGATATAACGATGTGTGCTTACATCTGGGCGCTGATGGATACCTGGCTGCCGCTGTCGAGGTCTCCGAGCCCTTGGCCGAACGACTGCGCCGCCTTTCGGCTCCGCCTGCTGCAGCAATACTTGCTGCATGGACAACAACAGGACCCCTGATGCATAACAAGGGTGCCGAGCCGGCAGCTTCGGGACGTTGTCGCCACTGCGAGGCCGCATGCTCTGCTGCGAGATCGGCCAGGCGATGCGGTTGTTGCGCCAGCTACGCTTGCTGTTGCGCCTGCACCCTCGTCGGCATCTTCGTCATCGACGACCGTTCGTCGCTCCAGGACGTTCAGGCGTGATGGACTGTAGTGGAAGTGCGCTCGAATTCACAAACCTCTTGCTGATCAGGTAGGTTCGGACCGCCTCGATACTGCTGTCGCCGAGGCCCTTCTTTTTCACGTGTATGTGCGCTGGTGGGTCCGAGCAGGGCCACTTACTTTTCCCCCCCCTCATCCCCCTCATCCTCCTCATCATCACCCTCCTGCATTATGTCACGACGGCATGCTTGTCGATGCTTTCGTGGGCGGGCACACCGCGGCCCGATTACAACAGCCATGATGGCGCCTTTTTCCGTCCGTTCCTTCCAGTGGGTGGGTGGGGGGCAGGCGCTGGCAAGACACAGGACTGGACATCCGCATGCACGGGGTCAACGTCAACACCTACGATGGTGCCGTGCGCGCGACTAGCAAAACCCCCTGCGATTAGGCTGTGCCGCAGCCCAGACTTTTCATGGGGGCTGGCAGGGGGCATACCCCGAAACTTCAAGGAGCGAGCTCCGAGGTGGCCCCGTAAGAGAAGCTCGCTACCTTGTGAGTACGAGTCCCTGCGGGTCAGTGCGGGGAGGGCAGCTCTTGTCTTGGCGCTGACCGCGGTTCTAGGTATGCCTGCAGCGCTGGCTCCGGCGCCTCTTCGGATGGCCGCAGACCGTTCTGTAGCCCAGAGTGATGACGATAATCCGGCCCCGTTGCCTCCTCCGCCGTCTCGTCGCTCATGCCGCGCGCGGGCATGAGAATATAACTTCTCCTGTAGGCCAGCCGGGCTGGCACTCGATTCGGCAGAGCGTGGACCAGGTGTCCTCTATCCAACAATTCTGGCGCCCGCGTGGCCAGGGCGACTCTGTGGGAGCCAGCAGGACTCCCCTGCGATGAAACTATTGTTGCACTCCTTCCCTGTGTAACTGCTCGTCCCCTTCCCCATTGCTCACGCCGCCGCCGTCATACTGCACTGTACTTGCTTACTTGGTGCCCGCTTGGATTTTTAGTTTGACTAGATATTCTGCCAGTTGCAGCGCCGCCGATTGTTGCTGACAAGACCTCAGCTTCATCAGCCTCGCAATCAAAACAAAAATATCCCTCCTCCCTCCTCCTCCACATTCTCCTCCTCTCCCCCCTGCTCCTCCTCCCTGAGGTCGGCCGCGGGCTCCTGACAAGCGGTGAGGCATTTCGCGGGGCAGTCGGCCAGGTTCTGGCAGCAGCTGAACAAGTAGATCATCCACCGCGCCGCGCGAGGCCGTGGGGGCCGAGGCCTGGCGGGGTTTCCTCCCTCCTTCTCCTCCCCTCCCTCCATCCCTTCCTTGACTCCCTACCAGACCACCCCAACCCAACCAGAAGACCCGAATTTCGGATTGGGGGGGGTATGGGTTCCACACATATATATATATATATATATATATATATATGTGTGTGTGTCTGTGTATATATATATATATATATATATATATTCCTCTTCCTATATTTGTATAAGCCCGGGCGGGGGGAAAACCCGTCCCCCCCCCAAAAACCGGACTCCCGGGATCTGGGGCTCTGGGACCCTCCGGACGGGCCTCGAAGCGGCCCCCCTGGCCTCGCAGGGCGTTTTGCCAAGCCTTCCCAGCACACCCAGGGCGATCAGGGGGGTCATCGGAGACATCTCAGAGACCCCCATGACAGCGCAAGAGCGCTCCGAGAGTGACCGACGTGACCTCAAGATGGCCCAAGAGGCCTCCAGGACGGCCCCAAAGAGGCCTCCAAGAGCACTCCCACGAGGCAAACATCATGGATTTTCTTATAGTTTTTGGTGAATTTTGGGGTTCTCCTCTTTTCGGCTTCCCGACGCTCCAAGACGGCGGTCTTCTGGGCGTCCGAAGCCACCTGGGAGGCTCCAAAATCGCCCCACAACCATCCGAAAGGGCTTCCAGGCAGTCCAAGAGAGCCCCAAAACGGCACAACACGGGTCCAAGATGGCCCTCAGAGAGCCCCATGGCGGCCCAAGATGGCCCCAAGACACCCTTCGAAGCATTCCAAATCGTGACCCGGTCGTTCAGGGAGACCGTGGTTGGAGGCAGGGTGGCCCGAGGAAGCCCCCAAAGGCCCCCAGAATACGCCCAGGAGGCCTCCAGAAGCAAGCCTGAGACACAGAGGCTCTCCCAGGAGGAGCCTCCGCAAAAAAAAAAAAAGCTGAGGAGGATAGGGAGAATGCGCAGGGTATGGCGAACATGAGGAAAAAGAAGCATGGAGAAAGGATAACGAATATCATTATCATAGCGGCGATGCCGGAAAAGGCAACAAGGAATTATCGCTAAATTGTCGGCTTGATCTTCCTGCTATTCCGCCTGCAAATCAAACTTCAAGGACCAAGGTGCATGGCGCGAAGCGCCACTGCAGTCTTGTGTATATATATATACACATATATTCGATGTTCCCCGACCCCCCCCACTGGAAATCGAGGGGAAATCTGAGCCTTCGGGTTGGGATGGGATGGTTTGGTGGGTGGTGATTCCTCCCCTCCCATCCCATCCCCTTCCCCCCCCCCCCGCATCTCTCCTGTTCCTCCTACCCCCTCCCCTTCCTTCTCCTTCTCCTCCTCTCCTCCGTATCCTCCCCCGCCTCATCCTCCTCATCCCCCCTCCTCATCTTCACCCCCGTCCTCACCGTCGGTCGGTCGGTCGGTCGGTCGGTCGGTCGGTCGGTCGACGAGGGCAGAAACTGGACGTACATACCACGTGTGAGACAAGACGGAGAAAGGATAGAAAGCACACGCAGCAGCAACAACAGCTGTGAGCAATCACTCGGTGGTGGTGCCGCCCGAAAATATGTGACCCTCAAAGCGCCCGCAAATGGCCATGAGCCGCGAGAATCACACCTGAATGTATGTGCTAGCGGGGTACTCTTTTTGATGCGAGCGCCAGCTCAGAGGGTGGATCCCCCGCGCAAGATCACCCCCCCCCCGACCCCCTACTTGGGATCATGCTGCCGAGGTATTCAACACGAACGTCGCGGAGCCAACCACCATCGCGTCTGAAAAGATTGCCCTCTCTAGTGGGCGGCTTGCGGCAAAACCTCACACGGACAGATCTACACCTGAAAGAATCGCACGGCCTTGCACCTGGACGCTGAAAACTGACAACACGCGCCATCCATCTCAATCGACAAGGCCGCGAGTCCAGGACTCAGAAGACTTTCGAATTGACACTTTCACACAACACGGCCTCCACCAAGCGCGGTGGCACCGGAACTGGCGGCACCGGCCAACGCTGTCTGCCGCCGCAGCTGGCGCGGGCGCGCCCTGGGCCCGCCCTGCCCGCCCGCCCCCAGGGGAGCTTGCGAGGGCCCCTGCTCCTCCCCGAGCGCAGCGAGGCTGCCCCTCAGGTCGAGGGCAACCGTGCAAGCGGCCGCGACGAACGCCACCCCCAGGATGCAGGCACGGAGGGTGCAACGGTTGACCAGGGGCGCGTCGGGCATGCGCAGGCCCACCGCCACGGCGCCCAGGGGCACGCGGCAGGTGTTGCACACCGTGCTCCGGATGCGCTCGGGGACCACCTCGCTCTTCAAGATGCCGACCGAAGGGAAGCATCGTCGGCCCACGGGGTTCTAGCGGAAAAAGGGGGGGGGCCCGGGGAGGGCGCCCCCCCCCCCTTCTTGCCCCCCCCCCCCGTCGGGGAAGGAGGGGTACCCCCGGTTCTCGGGGGCCGCCTTTGCGCGGTACCAGCGTTAAACCAATAGTTTTTGCGGCGGCAGCCGTGTTGCCAGAGTGTCCGCTGCAGGGGTCGTTCGGCCGTCCGCGCCAGGGCGCCCAGCTCCGCAAATGAGGGCCCTCCATCCAGGGGCCCGGAGCCCGGAAGCATTTTTGGGAGCCCCCCCCTGCCCCACGATTGAAGCTGCGGAGCTCCAAGACCGCACGAGAGACCTGAGCATGAGCCCATTGAAGCGTAAGGGTGGGCGGCTGGGCGATGGGCCCCCCACGTGGCACGCGCACAGAACAGAGACCTGGCGCTAACCACACAGCACAGACCTTGTTGCGCACTGGGCGGACAGGGGTGGGCGCCCCTTTGCATCGAGATGACGCGCGCACAAGCATCAGCAGCCAATGGCCCGATGTCGGCACCCTGCGTATGAACCGAATCGACTGAGGGCATGGGCCACGCCAGATGGGAACGCCATTTTCTTGGAAGGGATGGTGCACATTACACCCTCTGGATTTGCCGTTACTATAAGCCTGGGCCATTTGTCGGCGAAGTGTGATTCAGATCTTGGCCTTGCGCCCTTTGAGTGAAAATACAAATGCGCACGTCGTTTCTCACAGTACGTCGCGCGCGAAAGAGATCCAATCGATTGAAGAAGCAGCGCTGGGACTAGCATAAACCAGGGCGAAATCATTAACAAACGAAACTTCATGGTGAGTGCGCTCCAAATCTGACTCTGTGCTGAAGATTGGCACACCGCGATCACTCCACCCATCAGGAAACTTGTCGCTGCTGCACGGGCGACAGAAAAATCCAGTCTCATGTGCAATGCCAGCGAAGCACGCATACTACAAGCTATGAACGGACAGAGACTAGCAACTGACAGTTGCCGAAAAAGCACGAGGCATACAGCCCAGGAGGAGGGGGGGTAGGAGGACAGGAGTGGGTGCGGGGGGGCGAAAACAGCAGGCGCAAAGATTGAGAGAACGCTCCCCGCCTTGTTCTCCTAAGCACTGGCGAAAAACATCGGTTGCGTTCGAATCGCGGTTTATTCCTCACCTAAAGACTGTGCAACCTCTAGTGTTTCAGTGGTTAGGACAAGCACTGAGAAATGCAGAAACCATGGCCCGTCACTTCCGCGCCGCCCACAGTCCGTCACGCCGCGACCGGGAGTGCCTCCCAAAGTCTTTCCTCCCATTTCCGCTGTGAGCGGGCACGAATGGCTCTGGCACGAGGGCGAAATTCGTTGGCAGAGGAAGCCGTCTCGCGCGGGCCACCGCAGCAAGGGCCACGACCAGGCCCATGCGTCGTGGTGCTGGTCGACTCGACGCGATCGTGCCACGACTTCAGGGAGCGCGCACAATCACGGCTCCACGTGCCGACGGTCGCCACGCAGCCGCCAGCGATGCTCTGGCGGCGCTGCACATACGCGGCCAGGGACCGAGTGGCCCTGGGCATCACGCCTGCCAAGATGCACAACATCTTGCGCTGGATGCCGTCGACTATGTCGGCGGCACCCCTCTGGAAAGGCCACCGTGGCCAGCGGAAAGACGCGACGGGCTTGATGGAGGCCTTCATGAAACGCAACTTTGTGCGGAGGGGGGCGGGTCTGAGCCCCTCGGACAAATTGCCCCAGAAAAAGCCCTCCACATGTTGCGGATGACGAAGTGTAAGCAGGTTGCTACGCCACCATCGTCGTCAAGGTGATGCCCGAGTAGTTTGATGGCCGTCCGCCGCTGCCACTCGCAATCGACGGCGGCGTCACTTGTGTAGCCCAAGCACATCATGTTCTCCATCGAGGCCTGGCCGAAATCCAGAGACCAGCAATGCTTCATTTGCATCCCGCAGCCGATGAGAATAGAGGTCGCAGCCTCTGGGGAGGGCCCTAAAGACACCAGGTTGTCGACGAAGGTGGCAAGAGCACACGCAAAACCGAAAAACAATATCGACGCCACGTGCCAGAACGGCACAGTGCCACATCCAATAAAGGAACCCGCCTGGCAGCTGACGCCAAACGGCTAGCAGTCAAGGTACCCACAGAGCGGCTGCGCAAATGCGCCTCGGCTGTGCCAGCGACCAGAACGATGGCGGGGCACAGCTGGAGAGTCACGAAGGCCATCGCCAGTGCCAGGCTTAAGCCGCTGACCACCATCCCCTGGAGAGTATCGGCCAACTTAGGCCTGCGCGGCGCATGCTTTCGATCGCATGTCGAGGCCTTTCTCGATCACGAGGCTGGACGGGAATGTGACGTAGAATACCCGTCGGCCCTTGCGGGCACATTCAGAGAAGCATCCGCCGGTGGATGCAACCAAGGAATCAATGATGTGTTCATGCGGCTCGCAATGACGAGGTTCAGGACAATCAGCACGACTAGCATGAAGGGGCACTGGGACACACAAATAAATAGGTACAAGAACAGGATCGCCCATATTTTCCTATATTTTCTGGGGAATCGACGATTAATTGTGTCGGTGTTCTTTCCCCTGCTGATAGCAGTGGGAGGATGGCGTGCGTGCGGTCCGCGAGAACGGACCAAGAGCCCTCGGCAACAATCTGGCCGGGAACCTCGACGCCGTGGAGCCTGG